TCATTCAAATTTGGTACATACATTAAACATAATAGGACCTTGATGCACGTCATTTTTTTTTTCCGGATCAAGTTCGAAATAGCCGACTGGCGGCCATTTTGTTTTAAAGAATTCAGTTCTGGATCCGTATCAGAGACATGTCTGGATTGATCAAGTTCAAACTTCACACACACATGGTACATCATGTCACAAATATGTATGTGCATTTGTTTCATGATCTCATTAACGATAGCGGAATGATGGCCATTTTAAGGCCGAAAATGCATCAAAATCACGTATTTTCACAATTCCAGAACCGTATCTCAGTCATGCATGGATGGATTTTGTTCAGATTTAGCACAACATGTTGTACATATGCAGGTGCATTTCGGTCATGATCTGCTTTGAATGTACATGTCACTCAAATATGAACGGAACGGAACGGGGACGTGTCATTGACAATGACTTGTTTTTAATGTATTTAGCAATATGTCGATGTAATGACAGCTCCAATGCTCGCTGCCTTTTTCTTCCGGTCTCCTAGTCTTTCGAGCCAACCGTACAGTGGTTTATTCAGAATCTACCAGCATAGAACCCGCATCCGAGATGCTTTGTCGTGGCTACGTTTGGGTTTCGGGGTTTTTTGCATGAAAGCGTGTTTTTTTCACTGGAGTTCTGAGGCCTGAGATTTTCTTTCAGAGCCATCAAAATCGCTGACACTGACTGCGTCACAGCAAGGTCGCGACGTGCGTCCAGTAAACAAATCCGTTAAAGTGAGTTGCGTATTTTGCATGAGTGAAAAGTCCTCACGCTCGGCTACCGGTACTTCATGTACCGGGACGGCGAGTAAGAGGCTTGATGGCGGAGGTACCGATATTTTCTCGGTCTCCCCCGCTGATCGGAGGGCATCCTCACAGTCTGTTTTTTCAGGCGGTGTTTTTTACCCGATTTTACCGGCTGCAGCGAGGCTGTGCCCCTGGAGGCTTTCCTCCTATGGGGCCCGTTGCGGGTCTCTTCGTGGACCCTTCCTCGCACGGCGCCGAGTTTGCCTCAGAGTTGAGGGCTTTGGTCGAAGGACTGTCGGGGCAATTGCGTCCCTGGCAGGCCGGGTAGATCAGATGCAGTCGGAGCGAGCTGTCTCCACTGTGTCCCCTCGGTGGGCAAGCAGGAAGAGACACGAAAGCATGTTTGCATTCAAACACGTCTCTTCCGGGGAACCCCCGTTCCCAGTCACGACTCTCCCACTATTTTGGGGGGTGGCAGAGGCTCAGACTAATTGTACCGGTCCTTCTCTGGATCCGCGGGCACTGAATGCCAACGGGGTGCTGGCAGCCAAGTCTCCGATCTCAGGGCAGGGCTTTCAGGGCAGGGCACGCGT